CCCTGCCCCAGCCTTCCCGGCCCCGACGTCGGGAGGCGGCACTGAGGCAGCTGGGACCTCGGCCCTTCCCGGCTTGCAGCCCCAACTCCGAATGCCCTGCGCGCCCCACACTTTGGGCCCTCCAGGCCCTTCCCCATCCCAGAGCCTGCGGGGTGGGGCGCGGGGCAGGGCGTTCAACCACATCCACGGCCGGGAACTGGGAGCCGCCGCAGCCGCGCCCAGCCCTCAGCTGGGGCCCAGCGGGCACGTGGTGCACAGGAGCAGGAACTGGAACCGCGCGCCCGCAGGGGAGTCGGACACCTGCTGCCACAGGCTGAACCGACCGGCGGTTTCCGTCTTAACCGTTTCCTCCGCGGTGGGAGTGAGCGCTGGGCGGCGGCGGAGGGCTGGGGCCAGAGAAAGGAAGGATCCGAGGGACTGCCCAGTCGGGCAGCACCGAGCGCCTGCTAGTCTGTACCCCTCTGCTGTGTATTTGGGGGTGGGTAAGACAACTGAGAGGAGGTGGGAGAGATTCGGGACCCGGCTGACCCAAGGAGCAGCTCAGTAACGAACACCCGGGCCAAGAGCCGGCAAAGGAAGAAAGATGGTAAGACAGAGGCTGTGGCCGGGCAGGCGGGCCACAGTCCAGAGCACGGGCTAGTTCCCCAGCACCCAGGCCTCAGGCCTGAGTCAGGAGCGCTGAGCCCCACGCCCCACCACTGCCCTGGGTGGGCCTGCAGCAGATAAGCCACTTGAGAATTCAGAGCTGCCTAGAGTCCCTCTCTGCCACTCAGCCATGCCCCTCCTGCGTGGCTGTCCCACCAACTGCCTTCCTCCAGGGGGCCCTCGGTGCAGTACCCCAGCTGAAGCCTCCACCCCTACTGCCACCTCTCCCCCCACCTGAGCTAAGGAGTGAGGGCAGAAACCACTAACTAGGGCTGTGAGCTCCTCCCAGGGCTGCTGCGTGTGATGGGGCACACTGCTGCCACCAGGCCCTGCCAGCCCTCCCCATGCTCAGCTCCCAGCAGCAGGAACTCCTGGAGCGGGGCTGACTTGTTTCCACCGGAAGCTGGGGCAGGGCTGGTGCCCTACAGGTCTCTGCAGGGTGAAGAGCTGAAAGAGGATTGCTAGGGGCCACAGGACAGAGGCCTCTCCAAGCCAAAAACACCCCTACCACCTGCACCGTCTTTGGGCCTCCCCTGCAGGGCGCACTGTCCCCCCAGGCTAGGCAGGACAGTGAGGCACAGGGTAATTGCCAATAGCTAGAGGTAGGCAAGGCGTGGCCAGGTGTCAGAGCCAGGCAGCCTCGGCTGACCTGGCAAGGCTGAAGGGCAGGGGCAGGTGTCAACTGGGGGGGCAGCCAGGAGCACCCGGGGAACTTCAGCAGAAGCAGTTGGAGCCCTGTCTGGGAAGCAGATGGAGAGAAGAGCTGCCCGGGTGAGGGTGTGCACGAGAGGCCTCTGGCTCCACTGCAGCAGACCGGAGCCCACTCACACGTGCAGGCCAGAGGCAGCACCCGTACCTCTGCTCACTGAGCGTTACTTCTGAAGGGGCTGGTGTCAGGGCAAGAGAAAAAATACGTCCTAAACGTGTAACAAGCTGTGTGAACTCAAGCTAAGAGCGGAATCACCCGTCTGGGAGAAAGCCAGGGCGCAGCAGGGTGCCGAAGACCACTGGCTGTCAGACCTCCACCGTGGTCTCTATCCGCTTTGGGGGAGGCAGGACAAGGGGCTGTCTGTGCTCCATAAGTCACGCTCCACCTCACACCTCAGACAGCCCTTTGTTTAAACTCCTAATCACAGGAGGTCTACAAATAGAAACCCCAACTGCAAGAGGCCTATCCCAGGCAAGGCCTGCTTGGAGAGCCAGGATGGGCTGAATTCTTAGATGGCAACCAGAACAAACATTCGATCTGCCAGGCAAGAAGCCAAGCAATGACTGCCAAGCTGACCCGGAAAAAGAGGCCCTGGGCTCCTAACAGGGTGATGGGAGGGGTCCTCTGAGAAGGGCAGGGACAAGGAGCCACGGGTTTGGATCCTGGAGATGAAGCTAGCAATGGATTATACACAAACGGAAGGAGGAAGAGGATCTGGTCACAGGTAAGAAAGAATTAGGGGGCCAGCAGGTGGCATAGTGGTTGAGGCACTGGACTCCCACATGGCAGTGGTTTAAGTCCTGGGCTTACAACTCAGGCTGTGTGTGCGCGTGTGTGTGTGTGTGTGTGTGTGTGTGTGTGCCCCAAAGACCAGGAGAATGGAGAAGGGTTTGCAGTGTGGCCATCCGCCTGTGGTTTCTCTCTCTCTGTGCCTCTGGTGAGGGCACATGCCCTATGGCGGAAAACCTCTCCAAAAAAAAAAAAAAAAAAGACATTTATATAGTTAATAAGGTTTTAAGGAAAAAAAAGAATTAGAACCACCAGTACTCTCTCCTTCCCACTCTGCTGCCACCAAAACGGAACTGGAAAAAGAAAGAGAAATAAAACTGTCCCAGGAAAGTACCCTCCCAGCAACCATGCCTAAGGCAGCGTGAAGCTTTACAATTTAGAAAGAGTCCGTGCTCTGAACTTCAGGCAGATCTTGGCTCGAAGCCATCCAGAGAAGTAAAAGCAAAGTTTTGAGTCAGCGTTTCAGTTTCCCTTCTCCCCTCCTCCCAACAGCTGTCCCGTGCACAGAAACCCAGAAACTGGCTCGTCCATGTCAAAGGAGAAGCAAAGATGAACACAAGAATCTCAGAACGTCCAGGAACTACAGCCTTCAGCTGGCCACCTGCATCCCTCTGTCACAAAGGGTAACTAGTGGGTCAGCACAGCCTGCAAGACACAGGGAGCCTCCCGATGCAGCACCAGATCCCAGGGCCGGCTGAGCTGATGCGGGGGTGGGGGACAGGATGGCGTGCATGGGCACCCTGAGGCTCACTGGGATTCTGGGCCTAAGCAAAGACCAGCTCCAGGAACTCGATAGACAGAGCCTGAGCAGGTGACATGCCCGCCTGAGCCCGGTAGCTTCTCAGGTAGCAGGCTGGCGTCAGGGGGCTTTATCAGACCAGAGAAGAACAGCCGGGACGGGACTCCAGAGCAGAGGCCACTGGGGAAAGTCAGGAGCTTATGAGGCGAGGAAAGGAGGAAAATGAAAGAATTCCACCAAGAAGTAGGCATGAAGACAGGAGTTTCGGTTTGCAAATGACATTAGCTTTTGCTACCAGTCCCAGGGAAGGTGGAGCCTGGCTATTACTCAGCTAGAGGGAGGCAGAGGTCTAGGAAGAGCCCCTTGCCCTGCCCAGGCCATGAGACCCAGCTGTTTCGGAAAACCCCAGTACCGTGCCCTCCCTCTCTCCCGCTATTTGCCATCAGTGGGAAGAGAAGGCATGCTAGCAGAGGTGAACCAGAGTGTAGGCAGGCGCGAGCAGGAGGTGAGAAAATAACCAGGAGGCCAGCAGGTGGTGTGGTGGTTAAGGGCACTGAACTCCCACAGGGGAGACTATTCAAGCCCCAGACCTGGCTGCTTGCTTTCTCTCTCTCTCACTCTGTCCCCCTCTGATCAAATTAAAGTAAGTAGATAAATAATTTAAAAAGAAGAAAGTAACTATGAACAGCTCTTCAAGTGGGAATGCAGCCTGCGGACATGTAAATGGCTAAGAGATGGCTGTCTCAGTGAAGTGTCCCCTTCAGGAGAAAACCGGAAATGGCACGGGAGGAGGGGCCCAGTGCGCGCCCAGATGCAGGGCCCTCGGCCCTGAGAAGTGATCCTCCCCACCCCTCAACCTGCTCCCCACTGGCAGGCTGACTGCCTGCGAGGGCCAAGCAGCGTCCGGCAGGGAGGCTCAGCCCGAGTCCTTGCGCTTATGCACGTCTTCTACAGCACAGCCGGGTCCTGTCTACAGCACTGGGACGAGACAAACCCAGGACAGGCTTTCGAGGAAGGCCATCCTCTCCGGCAGCTGCCAGCATGTTAATTCGTTAAAAACAAAAACCAGAATTCCCAATTCAGACTTATTCTCTGTGCAATATTTAACAAGGCCTATGAAGTATGTCAATTTTACTGTTTTGTATGCATGCAACCCTGGATACTTTTAAAAATCATTATTTCACTTGCTCCTCATAAACTTGTGAGAAACCTGCAAAGTGAGTTACTCTCATCTCTTTTTTTTGGAGAGGTTTTTGCCATAGGCAGTGTGCGCTCGCCAGATAGACAAAGCGACAGAAAACGAGAAATCACCTTCTGGGGGGCATAGCCACGCTGAAATCCCTTCTCCATTCTCCTCTCGGGATCTTGGGCACGCACGCACACACACACACACGGTGTGAGTTTAAGCCACTGGGTCCAGGACTTGAACTGCGGTCGACTACATGGGAGTCCAGAGACATAGCCATTATGCCAACTGCTGGTCCCCAAGTTACTCTCATCTCTACAGTGTTTAGAGCATGGCAGAGAGGAAGGATGTATGGAGGGTTGCAAAATGACTAAGAGAGCGAGAACACAAGCCCTATTGCTTCCTAAGCCTGTGCTGTTGCTCTGCTCTTTCTAGGGGGTTTCTCAGTCTTAGATGGGAGGGTTCAATTCTCGCGTAGGGTGGAAGGAAGACACAGGAGGTTACCCAGCCCGGTTCCCATTCGCCACCCCGCCAGCAGCCCCAGCAGCCTGGTTCAGTTCATTCCCAGAGCAGAACAGCCGCTCCGCAGGGTTCCATCCCAGAATCTGAGCCAGAATGACTTGGAACCTTGCCTCGGGTGGGAAAGGCCCTTCAGGATAACCAAAGTCGAAGCTTCTCTGCACAGCATCACCTCAGCCCTATGCCATGTAGCTGATGAGCCCCATTTATTTACTCTGAGATTCTTTTGCTATAGGGCACTATGCTCACCAGAAAGACAAAACAAGAAACCGCACCCTCAGTGTGATGGCCACACCACAATCCCTTCTCCTCCAGAGATTTTGGGCACACACGCACACGCGCCCAGTGTGAGTTTCAGACTGCCATGTCCAGGACTTGAACCACAATTGACCACGTGGGAGTCCAGCCCTCCAATCACTATGCCATGTGCTGACTTGGTCTGAACTTTTTCGTCATCTTCTTGACCTAACCTCACGGTGGCCTTCACTCACAATCCCGAACCAGGAACTTCTCTGCTTGGGCAGGAGATGCTGGGATCAGGTCACCAGGCAGGGGTGAAGGAAGTGAAGCTTCCACCGGCCCCCAGGTACAGGTCCCCAGGAGTGTGCCCCACATGGCTCTGCACAGGCACAGCAAGACACCGCGGGACAGGAAATAGGACTCACCTTCTCTTCTGTCAGCTGTCCCCCTGGAGATCATCGAGCCCCCTGCCAGCACTCCATTTCCGGACTGAGAATACCAGATCAGATCCACCAAACCCAGGGCGCTTCTCTGCTCTCACCCGGGTCCAAAGTCCATGGCTGGGCCGACCCTGACGGGGAGGAGTCTGGGGGGGAAGGGGTGTGTCCGTCCCCTCCCCCCCCACTGCCGGCTTCAGAGTCCCGCCCAGGCGGCCGTTACAGGCCCTCATTCAGCTGGCTTAGGGCGCGCGGAGTCTGCTGAGGGGCAGAGCAGGTGCTCGGCCATCTCTTGCTCAGGCAGGGGACGTCATCCCCTGTGAGGGCAGGCCCACCTGTCTTCCGCTGGGGCGCATCAGAAGAAACGGGCCTTCGATACAGCATGGCCCAGGAGGCTGATCCGTGTGAACCTGCGGAACATTTACACATTGTGACACTCTTCAGTGTACACCCGGATGCCCTGACTTTCCAGCCCCCCACCCTACCTAAATTAGACTTACTATGTCATCAGAGTCCTTCGTTGGACGCGCCAGGTTACGCAAGGTACCTATTCATTCACACGCTGCACCCGCTGCACCCCGCAACAGTCACCACTCAAGCGTGTCAACATAATGCCTCAGGGTACAAAAGGTAGTCCCTGTCCCCACAGAAAAGTAACACAGCAGGGACGGTGGGACCGGCTAAGAAACACAGAAAAGGACGTCCTCCCGTCTGAACTGTCACATACTGACCCACTCTCCCAAGCGTCTTAGTGAGTTCAGGGTTTTAATCCGCCAGCTCTCCAGACCAAGATGCTGGCACCTCCCATATGCATTCCTCGCCCCCCTGCCCCAACCCTCGCCTCCCCCTCTGCTCCCAACACTGGGCAGGGATGTGATTCCGTCCCCGCGGAAGTCCCTCCCGGCCACCACGAATGCCCAGGCTGGGCCCCGCTTGCAAGCCCCCGGCTTCTAACTGTCCGGTCTCGGAGCCACTTTGCCCCTCCCCTCCAAGTGGACGGCTAAACACGCGCACGCGCACGCGCACACGCACACTCCCACCACACACCCTCCTCCCTGCAGGGGCGTGGCGTCCA